CGATCTTGGGCATGATTTTCGGGTCGCTGGCGGCGGCCTTTTTGAGGAGGTCGATGATTTGGGATTTAGAGAAGGGACTCAGTAGGTCGCGCAGGGCTTCACGCTTCGATACGTCGTCGTTTAGCTCTTCATCGGAGGACGATGATTCCTCCTCCTCCTCCACCTCCTCCTCCTCTTCTTCTTCTTCTTCTTCTTCTTCTTCTTCGCCTTCGGACTCTGATTCTTCTTCCTCTTCTTCGACTTCTTCTTCAACCTCTTCTTCTTCTTCTTCATCATCATCGGAGGTTTCTTCTTCTTCTTCAACTTCCTCGACGGCTTCTTCACGGACTGTTTTGGGCTTCTGATCGATCGTCTGTTGGGAAGAAGGTGCTTTCCGTTTGTTGGATTTCGAAGCCATTATCGAAGCTACGGCGATAATCGATCTTTCACACCGGTGAGTTTAGAATTAGGGTTTAGCGTATCAGTTCACTGGTTCTGCAGCAAAATCCCCCGATTTAACAAACCGCTAGAAAACGACGACGTTTGGGCTTCTCCTCTGTTACTTTACTGTCTCTGTTGTTGGGTTATTGGGCTTGGGCTAAGAATAAAATCCGACGACGAATTTCTTTAGTAGGCCAGTGGGCCATATAGCAGTGAAAACTCACGGGCGATGCTTGAAGGCCCACGTAGCAAGCTACCTATTCGGCCTTCTCCCTATAGAACTAGTAAATTCAGTAACGTAGGTAATTGAGTATTTGGGCTTGGGCTGACTTCGTAATTAGGTTAGCATACTGTAATTTCCATCAAATCTTTGATGGTCATGCATAGATATGAGGTTCTGATACTCGAACTCATAAGTCGGGCTCGAGCCTATATTGATCTGAATCAATGAGTGAGTTCGAATCAATTCGTTTGTCGTTATGAATGAGTCGAGCTTGATCTTAAACGAGCTAAACTCAAGTTCACCTAGAGTAAAAGTTTATTAATTAAATTACGTTAATTAAACTCACATGTTTTAGTCTTAACTAGAAGAATCGAGCTCGCGAATGGTTTATTTCGTTATCAGTTATAATCAATATGCAAGACTTGTTTAAATAATTAATGAGCTCAATCAAGGCTAAATGTAAGTATGAAATGATGAAATTATAAAGTCCAGCTAAATTTGCTCACATTACCTTATTAATGAGTTGGTTATGCATTTCAACTTTAAATATTACATTTACTTTACATGGTGTTGTTAAGCAGACATAACTGTTAGAGAGACCGAGTTTTCTGTAAATTTGTACTTTTTTTTTTTTTTACCGAGATGCCATATTATACTTTTGCGATTTTGTTATTAAGCCAACAGTTGGTTCTATTTTTTCTGTAAATTTGTACTTTTCTTTTGTTTTGTTTGTTAATACACTCGATACTTTGATGTAGATAAATATTTTGATACTTTGATGTAGATAAATATTTCATATTTCATTGTTTTTTATCTTTTTTTTTTCATATGAAGTATACTATTATTTAGTTTGACATCAATATGCCATTGATCGATATCATTTAATAAATCTAGCTATTGTGGAAAAAAAAAATGCATTCCATGTCATTTTTTTTTATAAAAGTTGCCTTTATTTTGATCGATTTTAAAAGATATTGAACTACTCTTGATCATGTACATAATCCTCCCTATATATTATTCACGAATGCGCTGAGCCTACATGGCTGCTTCTGGTACTTCGGAATCCTATTTAGCAAAGAATCATACTTCGTAATTAGGTTTGGACAAATAATATTGATATATTAATAATTAATAATTTAGGTTTGGACATTTCATAAATATTATTTAGCTAACTTAGGTATTTTAATATCACTTGTACTAATATAATCCTTTATTTATATCAAATTATTCATCTTTTGATAATCTTCGAATTGACATCCATATTGTATATATGAAATAAATAAATTATATTTATATTTATAATAATAATAAATAATAATATTTATTAAAATTTATTAGAAAAAAATAAAATTATTTTTCAATTCAAATATTTATGTTTAATGTAGTTATATGTTGTAAGTTAAAAAATTATTATAATATAACACATGTAAGTTACACAACTAAAAAGTGTCATAATAAATATATAATAATATATATTTTTATAAAAGGTATTTAAATTTTCAACTACTTTTTCTCAATAATTTTAGATTTTAAGAAAAAATTAACAAGCACCCGTGTAATACACGGGCATTGTACTAGTGTAGTAATATTAATATATATGACTAAATTTTGATATATAGCTTAAAAAAAAAATAAAAAAAAAATAAAAATAAATGCATGATATCCGCAATTACACAACTTGTCCTCTATAGCCACAGGAAACTTTTTCAATAATTGATTAGAGAGAGAGAGAGTCCACAAAACTAGATAATTTGTTTAAAAATAACGTTAAAACTTTAGAAAATACTACGATCCTGTAGCGGAACCATTCTGTCGAGATTTGTAACCGTTAGATCATCATATCATATAACTATCGGGAATAGTTAATCTAACGGTTACGAGCCCCGACAGAACAATTTCGTAACGAGACCGTAGCATCTCCCTAACACTTCATACATATTATTTCCCTTATCTCTATATAGATTCTTGAATTTTTCAGCCAATTTAATATATGAAAAAACTTGAATGCCTTCAAATAATAGAGTGAAAACCCACATGGAATGAGGGGATTATTAGGCCCAATAGACTAAAAAACTACAGAAAAGAATTGGACCTTTTGCTTTTTGGCTTAATTCAAAAAGATTCGTTTTTTTAATTTTATTTTTATTTTTTTTTCAAGATAAGATTTTGCAATCATGTTTGGTATCATTAACTGTTAGTGTCCAAGTCCTTGATCATCTGCTGTCTGAGTAACAGACAAGAAGAGCTTCAAGTTTATTGCTGTGTTTTCTATACAAAAATGGGGTCTAATTGAGGGAATACAAGAATGTAAATTAAATTCAATATATTTAGTTATATTTTGAATTGAGTAGGGCTCTGTGCACCCGAGTGTCACATTATTACCCTGTTGGGGTCTGGCACTCGAGTATTACCCTGTTGGGGGTATTTGTGTTTTTTAGTGTTCTTGTGTATTACCTTGTTGGGTCGGTTCTAGGCAGTCTTTTGACTTGTCCTCCCATTTTTTCAGTTGTTGGTTGCTTATATTCAACTGTTAGCTGTTTGCATTCAACGGGTGGCTGCTCTTTGTATATTTGTGCGTTTTATATAATATCTCTATCGTTACGAAAAAAAAAAAAAGAGTTGGAGCCTAGTTTGAGAAAAAAAATTATGCAAGTTGCAGCTGAATTAAAGTTTAAAGATTGGTACGAGTTGGTACTAAGAGGATAGCTAATTCAACTAGTTAGATATTTAGTTCAGACCGGATATTGGAAGACTCCGACTAGTCGAATTATTATTAAAACCGGAGAAGATAGTGCGGTTCCATCAAATGAAGCGCACCATAAGATGGTGAGCCTAGATACACCTTAGTGAGTCAATTGCTGATGGTAAGAGTATAGCCCACTAAGCTCATTTATCTTATAAAATCAATGTGGGACAACTCACAAGTGATATTCGAACAATTATATAAATAAACTTGTGATATTCGAACAATTATATAAATAAATCTTATAACATACATATTATGTGTGACAATAACATGTACAATCAACAATCTTAAACCATCATTGAAAGAGATGGACATGATGATTAAACAAAATCTTAATTTTCTTGGAAGTTAGCTACTTAACTTCATTAGGAACACTAAACTATATACTATGTACCAAATCAAAAACTCCAAATTTACTTCACATGATTAAATTTTTTAGACTATGGTTTTTCGAAAAAACAAATCTTGTGTGAGGCAGCGTAACTTTTAAACAAGTCGATCATTAATATATTTTCAAATTATGGTATGAAATATTTTTACTTTTGTTTATGTTAATTTTTAAAATATGATTCTTAATTTAAGAATATTTATATCTTCTTAAAAAAAAATTATGATTATGGCTATTATTGGGGAAGAAAACAATAAAATATGTATATTTAATTGGCTACTTAATAAGTGACAATATTCATTTATCATGTATTAAAAGACAGTATCTTTTTGTATCTTGTAGTTGAAGACTTTTCTAGTTTTTACTCAAAGGAGGACCATCTACAATAAAGTGCTCTGCTATATACATGATCTTATTATCCACCTCTCTTGATTTTATATTCTATTTTATTTTATTTGTTTTTTTCGGTATTCTAATAAATTCACATGTTATTTTTATATTTTTATAGTTTTTAAAAGGTTATTATTAATCCACATTAGAAACTTTGAATTATTTTTTTGTTGACGGAGGATCCGATCAACGGTTGTGATTTAATCTAATAAAGACGAAAAAAAAGAAAGATAAGAAAGATATACGATTAAAAGGGATTTTAATACTTAATTACTATATTGGCCTCTAACGAGGAGGTCAACATTTTGTTTACACATGGAAATAATTACGAGAATTTAATACAGACTTTAGAGAGACAAAGTAGTAGTTGATTGATTCAACAACCCAAAATAAATGAAATGAGTCTTCTATTACGGTAGCTTTAAATTCGACATTGTTCACTCTATCTTGTTGTACAGTAACCTTGTTGGGCTGGTCAGCGCCGCTCTGACAGTTATTTAATGCAATTTTAGGTTTTCTTAATCATTTCCTCATAGACATTTAATGCACACATGGGAGGCATTAAATGCTGACAGTCCTTTTTGTCGAGCTAGATACCCTAGGACGACATGCTAGGGTGGCTTGTCCCATCGGTGATCATTAGCTGCCAAGTGGTAATATAATATCGTTTTCGAGCCCTTCGCTTGGTCGGGTGCCTACCCTGTGAATTCTTCAGGTCGGACATTCATTTATTTGTCTACCAGCTCATAGGAATCTACTTCTTTGTTCGGCTTCTAAGGAGATGCATTACACCTCTGCGGTCAAGACGCCGGCCTTGCGGGTTGCTCTAGCTGTTGCGCTGATCGATTTTGTTAGCCGGCCAGCTCGGCATCTCATAATTATTTGCTGACCGGTTAGCCATGAGATCGTCTTCCTAGGTCCCTTTCCCCATAATCGAGAATCCTAGGCCTGCCTAACTCGAGTATCAACATTTCTATTTATATATATTATCTAAGAACAACATAATTGAGCTTGCCTACATTCTACACTATCTAAACCCATACATCAAAATCCTCCATAAATCCCACTTTATTTCAAACTGTATGTATGAAGATGGATCCACCAAAAGTAATACCCAAGCCTCCAAGGTACAACCCCTCGCAGAAGAATCCCGTCTTTGAACACTTCCGATCCTTTTTCCAATCCACAAATCCAAACAGCATATCTTTACCACCCGACGCCAAGCCCGAAGCAAACGATGAGCCCGAGATAAGTATTTTTGAGGCCCGGAAATATTTTAACGACAACAAAAACAAGAATAATATTAATAATAATATTGTTGTTAATTCGGGGGATTTCATCAAAATTCAGCAAAATCGGCCGTCGTCGGTATCTTCCGATGGATACGGCCGGAAGTTCAGGACGTCGTCTTTCCACGCGACACCGACGGCCTCGTCGGAGGCCAGCTGGAACAGTCAAACGGGACTTTTGGTCAACCCGCGGGGCTGCACGGCGGACTCCGTGAAAAACTTTGCTTCCGACGGTGGTAATAATAACCATCGGAGGAGAAACTCCGGTAGGAAGTGGATTTTCCGGCGTAAGTGCTGCTGCACCGGTGAGAAATCGATTCGGGTCAAGGAGACGACAACGGCGGGGTATTCGGGTCCGGGTCCGACGCGGAGCAAAAACAGCACACCTGTCAAAATCCCACCGGTAGAACCAATTTCCGGCAGGCTGTTGTTGCCGGAAGGTAATTTTGTGGCGGCGGAGCAGCAGCGGATATCGGCGTCAGGGAGGCCGTTCGCGGACGGGTTCTCGTTCCCGATCCTGAAGGGTTCGACACAAACGGTGAGGCCTGGACCGATGGGGATCGGACGTCTAGGGGAGGATCCGCCCAGGGACTCGCTGGATGTGTTCCAGCCGGCGGATAGCGATCCGTCTGCCGGCGGCGGCGGACGGCGCAATTTCAACCTGGGGAGCCCGATCGCGCGCATGGCAAGCACGGACGACGATGTGGGGAGCGACGCCAGCTCAGATCTGTTCGAGCTGGAGAGCTTCGCGACCCAGACGACGTCGAACCTGACGTCACGCCGCAGGGACTCGCTGGACGAGGCCCCGATATTCAACGCGCGGCGGTACGCGGGCAGGACGAGCCTGGACGAGCCGCCGACGCCGAGCGTGGCGGCGACTGAGTGCTACGCGCCAAGCGAAGTCAGCGTGACCTGGAGCGTGAGCACGGCTGAGGGCTTCGACAGGGCCAGCGTCTCCAACTTCTCCGTCTCCGCGTCGGAGGCCGGTGGCGCGGAGTTTCTCCGGCGGGGACGGAAGGAGGAGGTCTGCGCCGGGAACGGCGGGATGAGGAAGGGGAACCGAGCGGGCCTCCTGCTGATGAGCTGCCGGCAGGGGAAGGCAGTGAGCGTGGGGCCGCATCCGGTGAAATGCTTGCCGGAGGGGTCGGGAGGGGCGCCGTCCAAACCGCCTCCGGGATGCAAGAAGACGGTGCTGGCTTTTGGGGCCTGAAAATTTGGGCCTTCGTTTTGTTATTATTTTTCAAGTTTGGGCTTTGACTCAGTGAATTGGTATCAATTTTCATGGGCTATTATTTTTTTTTTTTCGTTTAATGTTTATTATTATTATTTTTTTCTCGTTTTATTGATGTCGAGACTCGATACATAATTTGTGCTTGGTATATTTTCTCGAAAAATTGTATTTCGTCACCAAAACATAAATTAAATAAA